AATTCAAACCTATGCGCTGCAGCTCAATGAGTTTTTAATGCCAGAACATAGAACATTCCCGGGCTTTTGCATGCGGTAAAGCAGGCCAATTAAAAAAAAAAAAAAATCATGTACTGTATATGTAATAAGTGCACAAAAACACAGGTATCATGTTTTGCGCACGGCAAATAGTTATTCTTTTTTTTTTTTTTAGAAATGTTTTTATTAGGAGATAGACAACAAAAACAGCACCACTTCATGAAGTATAGCATATATCAAGAAAAAAGGCACATAAGTAAAAAAATATCTTATAAAACAGAATCATAGAAAAAAAAGAGTACAAGAATGAGGTAAGTAAGTGTAGCTGGCCAGCTAAGACCGGTCCTAGGTTGCTAATATGGTTCACATATATGTGTATACCAAACCTGCCAATAACCTCAGTACAGTGTATATGTGCATATGTTAAAGCCAAAAGCAGAATCATTGTTGTCATTTATGTCTTTGAATGTTATATGACATTTATATATTAATTGTGTTAGCAGAAGCAGAAAAGGAAAATATGCCTTTAAGAGTCAGTGTATAGGTGAGCCAATCACAGCCAGCCTCGCACTATACAGAGCCTTAACCAATCCCAGCCAGTTTCACATTTGTGCCTGTGTAAAACTCCCTGCTAGAATTTTCTAGGGTCACTTGCTCCCCAGACAGAAGAGGAAACAGACAAGTTCCAGTTAGAGAAGCTTTATGGAAGCAGAGAAGGCCAAATAGGTATTTAATGCACTTATGTGTTCCTCTATTGTTTAGCAGTGCAAGTAGATCTGTATGTAAAAACTGTTGTGTGTGTTTACTTGTAGTTCCACCGAATCTACCGAGATAAGCTATCGAATCAACCCAGTGTAAAGTAAATACGAATCAAGTCACTGTAGAGTAATCGAAATATACAGAACAAAATACGTTATCGATATAATCCACCGAATTAAACCATTGTAATATGAAAGAAATAAGCTACTGTAAGATAAACGACGAAACAAGCCATTGTAAGCAGTGTTATATGAAGATGATTGAAGTTATTAAAGAAGTTAACTAAAGTATTCGGTGTGCTCTTTAAACCTACCGCATCCATAGAGCGGCATTGGAGGAATTACAGAGTAAAGTCAGTCTAATCAAAAACAAAGAAACAGCAATTGCATAATTTTTCTAATGCCACAGCGCACAAGGCACTACAAGTGCTGTGCCTGCCACAGTAAGATATACTGAACAACTACACAACCAACAAAAATACAATGCCAATAAAATCAATGATAACCCATCATTCTAGGAAAATAATTATTATTCTAACTAGGTTAACCCGCATTTTGCATAACCCATGAACAAAGCTCCTGCATGCAAACCTTAAAACAAACATAAAAGCTTGCGTAATAAATGTAAAGACATACTTTACTGTAGGTTCCTTTTGTACATTCTTCGAAAACACTTCATTATAGTCCTAAGCTGTGCAGAAATAACTTGGCATTGAATCATGAAGGTATGTTTTTATTCCTCTTTTCATTATGCTGCTGTTATTTGTTAGATTTGCAATTTGATTGTTGGGTTTTTATGCATTGATTACACCATAGAACATTCCCCAGTTATTGTATACCTTGTCCTGTGTTTTGTCTGGTCTGTGGAGTGAAAAGCATTTTTATTCATACTATCATACATGCTACATGACATCCCATAAATATATATTTCTGTTAAATCTCTTTGGTCTCTGGTGTTGCTTCAAATGTAGTTGAAGTCTGGTTAATGCCTTTTAAGATTGTGTTTTGTTTTTTTTTGTTTTTTTAACTATTCAAACAGTTTTTTCTCACTTTTGAACTAATTAACAAATTGGTGGAAAATAGGAACTAGACTTTAACCACAAGCCTATAGGGCACTTATACCCCCTCCCTGCCCAGGCCAATTTCCAGCTTTCAGCGCTGTCGCACTTTGAATGACAATTGCGCTGTCATGCAACACTGTACCCATATGAAATGTTTATCATTTTTTGGGACAGAGCTTTATTTTGGTGGTATTTAATCACCTCTGGGTTTTTTATTTTTTCTTAAACCAAAAACCACTGAAAATTTTGAACAAAAAACGTTTTTTTTCTTAGTTTTTGTTATAAAATTTTGTAAATAAGTGATTTTTTCTCCTTCACTGATGTGTGCTAATGAGGCTGCAGTGATGGGCACTGATAGGCTGCACTGATGGACACTGATAGGTGGGACTGATGGGCACTGATGAGGAGGCACTGTAGGTGGCACTGATGGGCATTGACAGGCATCACTGATGGGCACTGAAAGGCAGCACTGATAGGTGACACTGACTGGCACTGTTAGGCGGCACTGACTGGCACTGTTAGGCGGCACTGATTGGCAGCACTGATAGGTGGCACTGATTGGCATTGATGGGTGGCACTGAAAGGAAGCTCAGATTGGCACTGATATGTGGCACTGGTGGGCACTGGCGGGCACTGGCATGAGGCACTGATGGACACTGACAGGTGACACTGCTGGGGCTACACTGATCATCAGGGCACACTGATCATCAGTGCCCTGATGATCAGTGTACATGTCCCCTCCGCGGAAAAAAGTCGATTTCCGGCTCTCCTCTCCTCTCAAGCTGTCAGCGTGACAGCTCGAGAGGAGAGAAATGCTGATAACCGGCATTTCCCTGTTTACATGTGATCAGCTGTGATTGGACACAGCTGATCACATGACCGAGCTGACATCTTCGGCTCTTTCTGTGATCGGTGATCCATTGTGTGTGAGGGACACAGCGCACTGCCGATCGCCACGCTGCGCACTCCCTGAGCCGTGCATGCGCGGTGAGAATGGGAGGACGTCATATGACGTCCTCCCAGAACGAGAGAACCACCTTATGTCCGTAATATTACTATATGGCGTGCGGGAGGTGGTTAAACGTATCTTTCCTCTTCTTCAGGTTTGGCTGTGTTTGACAGCTGTCATTTTGCTGCAACTGTGTAAAGGAGGCTGAAGCCCTCTGTAAAAAGATGTCCCTTTAAGTGACACTACTGTAAGGAGGAAATTTACTAGAACTGGAGAGTGTAAAATCTGGTGCAACTCTGCACAGAAACCAATCGGCTTCCAGGTTTTATTGTCAAAGCTTAATTGAACAAGCTGAAGTTAGAAGCTAATTGGCTACCATGTACATCTGCACCAGATTCTGAGTGCTCCAGTTTTAGTAAATCTCCCCCTAATTTCAATCCTTATCTTCCAAAAATAATGCATACTCATTTGCCACTTAATGGTCCTGTTCCATGTTTCATGAACTTGTTTCCTGCTGTGTTTTTCTGCCTTCTTTTAATGTCCTGCTGAACCCGGAACCTCTTTTTTCACTTCTGTTTGTTTGGAACGTTAGTTGCTGTCATGTCATGCACTGTACTATACACATTACAAATCCCATAGTCCCTAGTCTATCTTAGGAGCAAGCTAGAGCATGTGGCTTCGTTCCTACATACAGTGGGACCATGGAGATTGAACGTAGCCACCCACTAACAGGAAGTCAGGTCACAGCAACAAATAAAAAAGGAATTTGGAGGAGGCTGAGAGCAATAGAAGGGACTATTTTGAGTTAATACATCTTGAAAGAATGTTTTTGAAAAACGAAGTTTAATGTCCAACTCTGGGCTCTCCAGCCCATTCATGAAGCTCAGTACAGCGGAACAACAGTATTCTCTCCCTGTGGACAGGGTTGTCCTAGATGGACATGTAGTTTTAAGTGAACTTTAAGTCACAAATCCAGCTAATACATTGTAAAACTCAATTAAACTCATATGTCCAGTAATGAAAATGCCTCTTTTTAACCCTATGCTGGCTGTGTCCCCCAACCCCCTTTCAGTGTCAACTAGGAGATCCCAGGACCCTGATAAAGTGCCCCAAAATGTTGTGTGGGATGTGATCCAGGAACATCCATTCCCCGTTTTCCTCTACAACAAATGAATCCAAAAGCAAAGTAAATTATGTCACTTCCAGGTTCACAGCTCTCATTTCCCAGTTAATATAGCCAGGGAAGCAGCTAATCAAGCATGATTTGTGCTTAATTGGCTGCAGTAGAGGGAATGGAGGCATTGAGGGTCCAATATACCACTGATGTCTCAATAAAAAGGGCCTGTCACCTTCCAATGCTATCGCACGAGGGCTTGTTTGCCCTTTGTGATAGCAATAAAGTAAGGGGGAAAAAAATAAACCGGTAATAAAATTCAATTGTAATAAAATAAAAATAACTAAACAAATTTAAAAACAGCCCTATCACCCTGCACATACACACAAATGGAAACACGCTTGCACATGTATGTAAACATCATTTGCCACACGTGACGTATCACTGTGAATAAGTAAGAACTATAATTCTAAGGTGTAATTCACCGTTGACCCTAAACTGATTAACCTTTTAAGTTTAAAGTGTATCCTATGGACAATTTTGAGTACTATTGGATTCCCTCTTAGATTGTAAGCTCTAATGAGCAGGGCCCTCTGATTCCTTCTGTATTAAATTATATTGTAATTGTACTGTCTGCCCTTATGTTGAAAAGCGTTGCACAAACTGTTGGCACTATATATATCTTGTATAATAATTTTAAAAAATACTCTTGTTTTTCACCCTTCACTGGCGCAACCAATATTAAGGCTTGCCAGGTTTGGCCTCTATTTACCCGACGCAACCCCAACTTGTATTTCTTTAAAAGAAAAAAAAAAAAAGTTGTATTTTTGTGTTTGTGTACACTAAAATTCATTTTAGTGTGTTTTTTCCTATGCATTTGCTAACCAGTTGAACAAATATTGTGCTACATAAAACAATTGCAGCTGCAACCATGTTATTCTACAAAGTTTTTCATTCTTTAATTTTCTAGTTTCAAAATGCTGATTTTTAACATGTCTGTGTAAATTAATAAATTGCCCCGGCAGAAGAGTGGTTAAATAATTCTGTTGTTTTTTTAATTTTTTAATTTGTTTTTTTTTGTTTTTTTTTTTTTTTTGCAGTGTGGAGGTCACGCTGGCAAAGAAAGATATTGACCGTATGTGGACAGAAGTAATTATTGGTGATAAACAAGGAGAGTTCATCGCAGATCCGGCACAGTGTGCAGCTATTGCAGAGCAGCTAATGCACCTCACCTCGGCTGACTTGGTAAGCAGAGCTCTATCATAGGTACAGTAACAATTAGAAAATTTGCATCAAAGTGAAACGGCTGTGGGGAACAAATAAACCTAATCGGTGAACTGTCCAAAAACTTTACAACTATGCTAAAGTCACTCCACTTTTTAAATCTGAATTTTTAAAAAAAAATCAGTTGCATAAAGATTCAGCAGACTTTTCTCTCTGCCTTGGTAGTGGCTCAACAATATCTTGTTGCATTAAGAAAACCATGTCAGAACCAAAGAGCACTCTGATCTACAGATAATCTTGCAGCCCATTGACTGATGATGGCTTTTTTTTTTTTCTTAAGCCAAGGAACAAGGTTCATGAAAAACTGAACTAGCTGTGGAAGGAGAGAAAGAAGATTGTGCCCAGCAAAAAGTTAGCTGGACATTTGGCTTTAAATATTGTAAATCTGTGGGTTGCGTGGCATAACCAACATGCATATCCATATCACTTTTGTGTACATAGGAAAAAAGACCAAACCTCTTGTCTTGTGATATATTCCTACGATTATCAGAGTGATGTGTTTAGGCAGTTTGGGTCTCTGGTATGAACCACAAGTCTGTTTCAGATCTCTACTCAAGCAACTTCTAGACCTGGGATTGCATCACATGCAAATACCAACCTGTGCACCTCCATATAGGTCACTAAAACACAGGTTCATTGAAAGTTGTGGGAGGATGTGGGATATTTGCATGCTGTGTGCACTCACATTCAGGGGCTCAAAGGGTGTCCACAATTTGCATCCATAATTAAAATGAATATTTGTGAAGGGTCCTTGCAGGCCTAGTGATGTTAGCTGCCTGAACTTTCTTTGTTATATATCCACTTCAAATTCAAAATGTCATATTTGGTTGGCGCATACCTTTAAAAATAACCTCAAAATATAAAAATAACTATTTAGTATATGTTCATTAACCACTTGCCTACAGGGCACTTATACCCCCTTCCTGCCCAGACCAATTTTCAGCTTTCAGCGCTGTCACACTTTGAATGACAATTGCGCGGTCATGCAACACTGTACCCATATGACATTTTTATAATTTTTTTGAGACAGATAGAACTTTCTTTTGGTGGTATTTAATCACCTCTGGGTTTTTTTTATAAACAAACCAAAAACAACTGAAAATTTTGAAGAAAAAAAAGTTTTTTTCTTAGTTTTTTTTTGTTATAAAATTTTGTAAATAAGTGATTTTTCTCCTTCACTGATGGGCACTGATAGGCTGCACTGATAGGTGCCACTGATGAGGAGACATTGGTAGGTGGCACTGATGGGCATTAACAGGCATCACTGACTGGCACTGTTAGGCGGCACTGATAGGTGACCCTGAAAGGCAGCTCAGATGGGCACTGATATGTGGCATTGATGTGCACTGGTAGGCACTGATATGTGGCATTGATGTGGCACTGATGGGCACTGGCAGGTGGTATTGATGAGCACTGACAGCTGGCATTGATGGACACTGACAGGTGGCACTGCTGGGGCTACACTGATCATCAGGGCACACTGATCATCAGTGCCCTGATGATCAGTGTACATGTCCCCTCTGAAGGATGCCGATTACCGGCTCTCCTCTCCTCTCGAGCTGTCAGCGTGACAGCTAGTAAGGAAAGAAATGCCGATAACCAACATTTCCCTATTTACATGCGATCAGCTGTGATTGGACACAGCTGATCACATGACCGAGCCAACATCTTCGGCTCTTTACGTTGATTGGTGATCCGCTGTGTCCGAGGGACAAAATCATACAAACCTTACATTTGTGTGCGCCTATGAAATTGTGTCAAACTTTAGTACCCTATATTTTCTATAGATGGTGATTCAAAAGCCCCTATATGTCATCAGTTTATTGTTACAGAGGAGGTCTGGTGCTACAATTATTTGTTTGTCTGACATACGCGGCAGTATGTAACATGTGTATTGCAATCAATGTTTTCACGCGTAGGCGCCCCTACTTCTACGTTTGTGCGTATATGTGGGGTTGGGGCTCAACATTTTTTGGAGGGGATTATGTTATGTGCTTGGGTGTAACTTTATTTAAAAAAAAAAAAAAAATTTTTTTTTTTTTTATTTATTTTTTTTATCACATACGGGATGAGTTTTTGGTGACAGGCTCTCTTTATTGAGACATGTAGGGTCTAAAAACCACTAATGTCTCCTCTATGATCCATTAGATGTATTGCAATGCAAACCACATTTTCCCGAATATTCTAGCTGGGAAAGTGACAGCCCCGACCTGGAAGTGACATCTTTGGACAAAACCTTCCAGGGGAGGGGAGTGACGCTCGACTGCTCTCCTCTCTCCCCTCCACTCGCCAGCACTCACCATGGATCTCCCCGGGCCCACAGGTAGGCAAGCAGGGCTTGGTTATATAGTGGGAGCGCGCCTGTGGGGGGCACCATTACTGGGGGCTGTGGAAGCAATTGGCAGTGGAGCTGCCTGACTGCTTCCACCTGACAGGCAGGAGTCTGCCTGTCAGTTTTATACACAATCCCGGTGGCTGAAGCCACTGTATTGTGTGTATAAAACACTCTGCTGTCAGGCGTATGGACCTGGCAGCGAAATGGTTAAATTATACTGTGTGTAGTTATGAGTAGTAGTAGCACTCCATCTGAAATTTCACAAATTTTATAGTGTGAACATCTGTACTAAATGCCAGAATGGATAAGAAATTGCACAAACCTCTTAACCACTTGCACAGAGAGTTCCGTATTGACATTCAAAACAGGGCTCTGTACAGAGGGGTTGAGGGATGAGAAACCAAGAGATCTGTTAGTAAAAGCAGCACATTAATACGCACATTAGACATAGGTAGGCACACATTTGACCCTCTAATCACCCTAGATGTTACCCTTTCCAGCCAATGTCATTAGTACAGTGACCTGTGTGTATATTATTATCACTTATCACTGTATTAGTTTCAGTGGCAGTTAATCAGTTCCCTCCCCCAGCGTCAACTAGTGTCAGATTGCCTGTTGCGCTATTGCAGGCCAATTTATACGTCCCTGATCACCGCCATTAGTAGTATAAAAAAAAAAAAAAAGATAAATACAAATTCCAGTATATCTGACATAGTCTGTACTTTGTAACTTTCACGTAAACCGATTAATATACACTTATTGGCTTTTTTTTTTATCAGACATTGTAGCAGAATACATTTTGGCAAAATTTATGAAGAGATTTGATTTTTTTTTTTCATATATACCGTATTTGCCGGCGTATAAGACGACTGGGCGTATAAGACGACCCCCCTACTTTTCCTGCTAAAATGTAGTGTTTGGGCTATACTCGCCGTATAAGACTACCCCTCTTCCAATGCACACCAGTGGGAGGAATAGTGCCCCATCATTGGCATTAGTGGCAGGAATAGTGCCCTATCATTAGTATCAGTGGAGGAATAGTGCTCCATCATTGGTGTCAGTGGGAGGAATAGTGCCCCATCATTGGTGTCAGTGGGAGGAATAGTGCCCCATCATTGGTATCAGTGGCAGGAATAGTGCCCCATCATTGGTATCAGTGGGGGGGGATAGGTGCCCCATCATTGGTATCAGTGGCAGGAATAGTGCCCCATCATTGGTATCAGTGGGGGGAATAGTGCCCCATCATTGGTGTCAGTGGGGGGGAATAGGTGCCCCATCATTGGTATCAGTGGCAGGAATAGTGTCCCATCATTGGTGTCAGTGGGAGGAATAGTGCCCCATCATTGGTATCAGTGGGGGGAATAGGTGCCCCATCATTGGTATCAGTGGCAGGAATGGTGCTCCATCATTGGTATCAGTGGCAGGAATAGTGCCCCATCATTGATGTCAGTGGGAGGAATGGTGTCCCATCATTGGTGTCAGTGGGGGGTGGAATAGTGCCCCATCGTTGGTGTCAGTGGGGGGGGGAATAGTGCCCCATCATTGGTGTCAGTGGGGGGAGGAATAGTGCCCCATCGTTGGTGTCAGTGGGAGGAATAGTGCCCCATCATTGGTATCAGTGACACCAATGATGGGGCACTATTCCTCCCACTGAGACTTGCTGACCCTGTTCTCGTATGGTGCTGCTGCAGCCAGCATATGGGTGGTTGCAGCAGCACCTCTACACAGAACACTTACCTGCTGCTCCGGCACTCAATTTTCGCGGGGTCGCTCAGCTCCGCCCCCTCGCCGGTGATTGGCCGCCTGTGTGCCTTTCCTGAGCTACAGTTCTGGCGGCCAATCACCGGTGAGGAGGCGGAGCCGAGCAGCCGCACGAACATCCAGTGGCCGTAACTGAAGGAGACGCCGCGCTTCCTGGACGGATCGTCGTGGGACTGGATCCAGGTAAGAGACATCAGCCCCTGCAAACCCCTGTACTTAATGCCGCAGCCCCCCCTAACATGTGTACCGGCGTATAAGACGACCCCCGACTTTTGAGAAGATTTTCAAGGGTCAAAAAGTCGTCTTATACGCCGGCAAATACGGTATATATATATATATATAATATAGCATATATATATATATATATAATATATATATACCAATATATATGTTGTGTTTTATAGCAGAAAGTAAAAAAGTTTTTTTTTCTTTTTTCTTTTTTCACAGTTTTCAGTCTTTGTTCATTTATATCCCCCCAATAAAAACCCAGTGGTGGTCATAAATACTAGCAAAAGAAAGCTCTCTTTGTGTAAAAAAAATATATAAATTTAGTTTGGCTACAGCGTTGCATGACTGCGCAATTACCAGTTAAAGTAGTACGGTGCCATACAGCAAAAAAATTGCCTGGTCATGAAGGGGGTTAAATCTTAACGTAAACAAAAATCTTTGTTTACCTTCCCTGACTAAGCTGAATCCTCTTCCATTTTTGTCTCGCACACTCTTCCTCCTGGACACTGCAGTTCACAGTGGAAGAGTTTCAGCAGCAGAGGCAGTGCTGTCAGTTCAGAAAGTAGTGGGTATGTCTTGGTGTGGTGAGGATCTGCTTGACAAGCTTTAGGCTTGTGAATTAGCAGTGACCATACTG